CTGTTGATTGCACAAAAAGTTTTTGCCCGGAGTGTAAATAACTCGTAAGTGACCCAGTTTCAATAGTTAATTGGGTTTCTATATTCCCATATTTCATAGGGGCTAATAAACCCAAAAAACCACTAAAAGGAGTTCCTTTGGTGCCGATTCTTTGAAGGAATATCTTCAACAGATTTCTGAATATATGGCCTACAAAAACTATATAATTATTGCAGATAATTTTGGAATAATATTCAAGATTTGTTTGGCTATATTTCCCACATATACCAGCCCCGCAGGTCTCTCCAAACAGAGAGCTTTACAATAATATTTCCGATAATATTTAAATACTTTGAATATATTCGAGTACCACTCAACGGAGTGGCTCTTAAAAAGAACACCTTTTGGGTTAATTTCATGATTTATAAGCTTCCCAAAGCCATCAGCTCTTTAGGAATAAATGTTAATAATAATGCATATTCCCCAGCAGTTTAAAGGTATTTTTAAATATATATATTTCTCGATTAATAACCACCAAAAAGGGAAGCAGAACAAACCCGAAAAAAGGAAAGTTTAAGTACACAATATATAATCTTTTGGGTCGTTTGCTGTCGCTGTCTGGTGGCACATCTAATTAAGACACACTCCAAAGGATTTACATGCAACACGCCAAAATATATACACTCGTATCGTACGGGAATGTATCTGAGAAAGAGAGGAACCTGACAAGATGCCAAGTGTAAAACTTCCCAAACAAAATTAAGGCAAAAGAACGCGAAATATGCGAATACGAGCGAGTGTGTGGGTGTATGGGTGTGTGAATTTGTGAGTGTTTGAGTGTTAAAATGAACGCAGCATGATGTATTCAAAAATCATTAACGGGCCTCAAAACACGCGGTGAAAGGAAGTTCCAGGTCCCATGCCACCAGCCCGGTCGGTCGGGCCCTCTCTTTCTGATCCACATATCGCTGCAAAGTGAAGCGGGAAATTGCTTTGACGTTGCGTCAAAATTTCACACTTTTTCGCAAGATAAAAAAAAAACCCAAAAGGGGCACAGCCACAGCCACAGCCGCAGCCGCAGCCACATCACTGCATTCCCCAAATATTTGCCACCATCTCCGGACAGCGGACTCCGGACTTCAGCTCCAAAGATCATTAAAATGAAGGAGTGTGAAGCGATGGGGTTGGGACTGGGGGCCGGGGGCCGTGGGCCGGGGGGCTTAAATTAGCATACAAGTCGCGCTTTTGCCATAATTTGCATATAAAATTAGCGCAACACGTTGCACCAGCAGCAGCAGCAGCAGCAGCAGCCCCCCTCCTCTTGGCGGCGATCCCTCCCCCTCAAACTCTTAGTGACACATCCATGCGCCACCATACATTCTCTCAGATGCTCATTTGCTGTTTGGTGGACTTGCAGCGACTCTGCTGCTGATTGGTTGTACACACAATCCAAATCGCAGACCCCTCGCCTCCCCTGCCCCCTGCACACTGCACACTGCATCCCATCCTCTCATCCAGCCCCTGTGCGCTATGATAATTAAGCTGAAATCTCTCGCTTTTGGCCAACACTCTCGCAGTCGAGTGTGTGCTGCACTTGTTGCCGCAATTTGCATGCGGCTGGCTCCGCGCTGTGGAGGAGTCGCGGAAGGGTTGCCAGCTGCCCGGCTTGGTAGCGGCGCCTTCACGGCAATTAGCGGCAGAAACGGCAGAAAAACTTTCCGTACCCGTACCCGTACCCTGAGAATGAGAATGAGAATCAGAATATGGGACTGCCTCACAGCCTGCCTGCCTCACTGCCTCACTGCCTGATTAGTCACGGCTGCCTGCGCATCTCCACTGACAAATAGATACTCATAAATAATATAAAAAAAAGTATCTTTAAATATTCCCCGTTTTTTTCCCGCCTGATTTTTGAAATATTTTTCTCGTTTCGTGTTTCCCATAAAGCTTCAAGCGTGAAAATGCTAAAGGTTAATAATTATGAGAGAGTGTGTGTCCGTGTGTCCGTGTTTTCGAGGTGTGTAAGAAATCGATAAAAAATTGACGAATATTTTAATACCAAGCTGGAAATGAGGCTGTGAATGTTTTTTTCTTCTTTTATTTTGTTTTTTTTTCGGGTGAATGTTGGCTAATTGAGTCTTGGCAGCAAATGCTTGTCTCTCTTTCGTTTCTTGATTGGAAAGTTGTACCAGAAGCTGGGAAATATGTGAATGAAGCGAATGCCTAATGAGGGAGTGGACTGTGAGGATAGAGAATGCTGGCATTCTAAGAAAGGTGGAGAAGGGGAGAGAGCGAGAGAGAGAGAGAGAGAGAGAGTCAATCCAATCCATTCCAATCCAATCCATAATAATTTTATTAACAAGAGAGTAACTGCAGAGAGTAAATCATGGCCATAAAGAGCATACTATAAATAAATAAGCATTTAAATAAAAATATTTATTTACATATAATTGCATGTCGTCGGTCGTAGGACGTCGGTCGTAGGACGTCGGTCGTAGGACGTAGGACGGAGAGGGAAATGAATACGATTGCAGTTTATGACAAGCGATTAAAGGGCCATAATGAATGACAGAGAGGATAGGAGAGGGGACTAGGGACTGGGAGCTGGGAACTGGGGACTGGGGACTGTGGAATAGGGATGGGGATGGAAAGGGTGGCATGGCGGGGCCTGGCGGGGCATGGCCCGGCCTGGCGTGGCTCTTTAACTATGCTAAATACCATTCGGCTGGGTTCGTTTAAGAGTATTTAAGTGCCACATTTAAGTAGCACAGATGCCAGATGCCAGATTGGCAGATAGCTTATCGGAGAGTGGAAAGTGGCATGGGAGACAGCTACCGCAGACAGCAGTCGACACACCACGCTCCACGCTCCACGCTCCACACTCTCAATGAAGCAGCTGGCAGCCTCCAATCCCGTCTCCATCTAGCAGTTCATTAGTCAAACGTTAGGTGACAATCAGATGGGTCATGGAAGATAGTTGGGAGGTCCCTTTCCACTTCCCAAAAACGCGGGGATGACCTGCAACCCGAAACCAGCAACCTGCAACCTGCAACCTGCAACCTGCAACCTGCAACCCGCAACCTGCAACCCGCAAGGTAAGAGAAGCGCATTCCCCATGTCAAGTGCCGCTGATAGATTCGATAGAGAGATTTGGCTGGAGAAAGTTTGGGAGCTCTCCATCTGAAGGGTCTCCCTCTCTTTCTTTCTCTCTTTCTCTCTTTGTCTGCAGCGACAATCTTGTGGATATCCCGCGGTGCGGCATGAATTACACACAAAAAGCCAAGTGTCAATAAAATTGCGTAGATTATTGCAAGCGAGCTCGTAAAATTGTTTACAATCGTTCGATGGGGATCCATGGGATGCCCAATGCCCAATGCCCAATGCCCAATGCCCGATGGAAGACGATGATGATGGTACAGTACGTCCGTCCCGTCCTCTAGGGTGCGGTGCGGTGTGGCATGGTGTGCTGTGTGCTCGTTCGGCCTCTCAATGGATGAACAGAACCATTCAAGTGCCACTTTCTGTGTGCGTGATGTGAACGCCATCCAATGGCCGTGGGTCGTCTCTCTTTCTCGCATGCTGCCCCCATTGGCGTTGTGCGGAATTTCCTATATGAATTTATTAAATAAATGCATTAAACTATAAAGAAAAAGGACGCCACGGGGCCAACCAGAGTCAACAGGAGGTGGTGGCAGAGCAAATGCTCTTGCGGTACACAGAATCAGCGAAATGATAAATGCAATTTGAAAGATGGCCAGCGACGAGTGACCACAGGCTCATATTCTGCAATCTATTCGAATGAGAGTAGAATTTAAAGCAAAATGAGCTCCAGAGAGAATTCAGATCTAGAAGCAGCCGATTTCCAGCCCTAAAATGTATGAGAATCGTGTCTGTCAGGTATGTAACCTGTCTCATATATTGAACGAGACATCGGCTGGCTCATGATGCAATTATACGAGGTGGTCTCGTCGGCAAAAGTCAGTCCCTTAACGTATGCGAATGACAACGAATGATAACGAATGAAAGCCACATAGTATAGTGAGTGTGAGTGAGACGGCATACGTTGATGTTGGTTAAACCTTAACAGGCCCGTGGCGTTTAAAATTTTAAAATAAAATGATTTTACTGATATATTAATATTGAAATTTTATGCAGCCATTAAAAATTTGTCTTCAACATTTTTAGTTATATTACAATTTTCTTTATATGCTATTTATATAATATGCAATATGTGATTTTTTTTTGCAGTCGGGACATAAGGGTTAAGAATATATAAAAAAAGTCGTCCGTGAACAACGTTCATAATCAACAAGCAAGCATTCACTGACGATAAGGGATAACACGAACAAACTTCGGCTCCCGACGAGACCACCTTGTATAATTGCATCATGGGCTGGCTCTTCAGCGCTCTTCCTCTATGGCCCTGGAGCCAGCCCTGGAGCCAGCCCTGGAGCCAGCCCTGGAGCCAGCCCTGGAGCCAGCCCTGAAGCCAGCCCTGGACCTTGGAGTGCAAACAATTTTACTATTGGGATTGTCTTTGGTAGAAGACAAGAGACAGACATATAAACACCAAAATTCTTGTAAGCATTCACGAAGCATTCCAGACGAGCTTCCCGGCTTTCAGTCCAAGAACTGAGGCTCTCTCGCTCTCGCTCTCACAGCCCGCTTTTCCAATAGGAGAGGAATAAGTGTTGGAAAGCGAGTCAAAGGAAGCTCTGTCACACGGCTGTCATATGCTTTCAGTCCAAGAACTGAGGCTCTCTCGCTCTCGCTCTCACAGCCCGCTTTTCCAATAAGAAAGGAATAAGTGTTGGAAAGCGAGTCAAAGGAAGCTCTGTCACACGGCTGTCATATGCCGTGACTCGCATTTTCAGATCAAGTGCTAGTGTGTTTCAGTCCAAGAACTGAGGCTCTCTCGCTCTCGCTCTCACAGCCCGCTTTTCCAATAGGAAAGGAATAAGTGTTGTAAAGCGGGTCAAAGGAAGCTCTGCCACACGGCTGTCATATGCCGTGACTCGCATTTTCAGATCAAGTGCTAGTGTATTAAGTGTAAGAGCGTTCGCAAGCAGTAATTTTTTTCAATTGAAATTCATCTGAAAAGACTGTTTGCCGTCATGCCGAGGGTGCCCCGAGTGCTTCTAAGAAGAATGAGACTCGATGCTAACGGCCGTCCGCGCGCTGCCACCCGGCGCCTCGACAACGCTGTGCGCGATGCCGTGGCCCCAGACCGCAGCGACGCCGCGGAGCCTGCAACCGCTGGCCCTGGAGATGCGACTCAAGAAACTGGACACGAGGATAATATATGCGCCCGCCGCATCCGCAAGGAGATTGCCATGATGACGAGCAACCCGACGGAGGGGTGCACAGTGGCGTTGGTGGACGACTCCATCTACACCTGGAGCGCCGTTATTCTAGGCCCCTCGAACACGCCCTATGAGGGCGGGCATTTCCCGCTGGAAATCAAATTTCCGACCGGCTACCCGTTCAAACCGCCGCTTTTGAAATTCCTCACTAAAATCTATCACTGCAACATTGCCAACGGCAAAATCTGTGTGGACATTCTGAGCTCAGCCTGGTCGCCGTCCCTGACCGTGGAAAAGGTTCTGCTCTCCATCCAATCGCTGCTGTCGGACCCCAATTCCGACAGCCCCATGAACTCCGCCGCCGCCGCCATGTTCAAGAAGGACCGCGAGGAGTACGACCGCTTGGCACGCGAGTGGACCGCTCGCTACGCCAAGCCTGTCGCCCCCACTGCCCCACCAACACCTCCACAATAGATGGACCACATTTTCAAATCGATTGGCTGGCAGTAACCAACACCTACCACACCCCATACCAAACATAAGCAAACGACCAAAAACATAAGAACATAATACAAATACAACACCGCGAATAAAGACCAGAGATGTACATTGTTGCATCACACATCCCACAAGACCTGCAAAGTGTTTGATTTACTATTTACTATAGGCCCGGAATGCGCTCTGCTCGCTTCCGCGACGTCGAGAGTGTTGTACACCTCCGTCTGAAGCACTCTGCGCAGACGCAGCGGCGCCTCACGCGGCAGTTCGGCAGTGCGTATACTTAGGTGCATAGGAATCTTCTGCAAGTGCTTTGCAGTGCGGCCTTCCCCTGCTTCCCTGCTGTAGGCCTGGACAAGGCTACTTGCAGATTGGCCACAGCCTCGTGCCGCAATTCCGCACTCACTTTGCGTGCAAAATAGAGCATTTTGTGACGCTTTGTGACGTTGGGAGTCCGGGACGGGGCCTGGGCCTGGGCCTGGGTCTCGGGCGATGGCCTGTGCCTGTGCCTGTGCTCGCTGCCATCTGCTAGGGGATATATGTACTAAATTTATATAGTTTCATGTTTTAAAAACATCCATGGACTTGCTGTGCTCTTTATTCGCTTTCCCTGCGATATCTATCGATGTATATCGATTGTATGGTCTCCATATGAATATCATCCCTTAATTTCTGCCATTCCCCGCAATCTCGCCCCCCTTTCTGCAGCAGCTTTCTCAGCACATATCTCTCTCTCTCTCTCTCTCTAACTGCATGCTTTACCCATAAGGCTGTCTCTTTTTTTGCCGCTAATTCGCATGTCATTTGGAAGTCAACCAAACGATGGAAATCGCTACGAAAATTGATTTTTGTCGATGCGGAAGTTCTTCCAAAGCCCAAAAAACGCATCTGCGCTTATCCTAGCCCTGGTTTAAATGGGATATACAGTTTTACAGTTAAGAACCACTGAATAGGTCATCAATGGTTGTGGCAAACTGCACAACAAAGTGAATACGCTCTTACTCTCGTTCAGGATCGAAAATGGACCCGTGCAAATGTGAGTTTCTTGCTTTCTTTTGTTGTTTTTGTTGTTGTTCCACCACCTAGAGTTCTCCCGCCGCCCTATGGGGGGGCAACAGACAGAGAGACATACAGCCTGAGACAGATAGATAGGAAGTGTCCCCCCCCGCCCCCCTTGTGTGTCCGTGTGTCGTCGTGTTGTGCAGCCCTCCGGCAACTGCTGGCTGCAATATTATTGTTAATTTCATCGTAAATTTGAAATTCTTATGCTTATTGAATTTTCATGTTTGCCAGCGACAATTCTCTTGCTCTTTCCCCGTTCCCTGGCATCCGTGGCATCCCTGGCAGCCCTGGCACCCCCGGGGATCCCCATCCGATCCTTGTTTTGCATGCAAATGATTTTAGTTATGATAAGACAGTGTCAATAAAAGCAAATTCAGATTCAGATATGCAGAGATGCAGAGATGCCGATACGGAGATGCCGCTAGAGCCGCTAGAGCCGAGTGGCGTCTCCTCCCCTCCTTCTGCGGGAGGGGCGGGCGGGCGGTCGGCCCATGTGAAATTAACTTTATTGCAATTTTATCAATTTGCTGGCCAACAATTTACCCACTCGCACGAGTGTATCTCTGCATCTGCATCTCTGTGTGTGTGTGCGTGCGTGTGTGTGTGTGTGTGGATTCTGCATGTTGCATGAATATTGTACATATTGGAAAATAATAATGGCAATCAAATGTTTATTGCTGCTGCTTTAATTGCTATTTTATTGTTTGCTCTCTAAGTTCTGCCCCACCCTACTCCGCTCTGGGAAAATTCTGCAATAATAATATTGTTGACTGCAGCTGTCGTTTATCACAATTAAATTAGTTCTGATTGCTGTGGGAAATTTCTCTGATTCCAAAGGAGGGACCACCGACCCACCCAATGCTAATGACACACACACACACACACACGCACACACACACACACACATGCAAACAAAAGGCTTTTGTCGGCCATGGAAATTTGATGTCATTAAGTGCCCAGGAAAATGGCAATTCTATTGCCAGATTTGGCCAGATGGTGGCCCTTCGAGTGTAAACTAATTTCCGCTTTAAAGGCTTTAAAGGTAAATCGAGGGAAAGCCATCAAACAAAGCCAAAATAGAGGTGATTGTGGGGGATAATTGCCCAGAAGTTACTCCTTCTATAACATTGGAAAGGCTGAGCCTGCCGACTCTGAAAACTTCCGAAACTCGTGATCTTTTCTAGCTCCCAACCGATCTCCCTCTGAGCATTATATTTCAGTTATTCTTCTTCGGCTTTTCCTTTATTCTTGCATTCTGGAGTCCTTGAACGAAAGACCAAAGGGGCGGCTCCCATCTATGATTTATACAAAGATTTTTCACATTTTATGTACTGCGGAATGAAGTGCGACAATCTTTATCGTTGCGATCGATTCTCGTTGGGGCAAAAAGTATCGCCTTACAATAACAAAACAACCGCATTTTCTGCACACGTCCCATCCCCAAGGCGCTCTCCCCGTCCTCCAGAGAGAAGGTAAAAACATGTGGGGCTGTGGCTGGGGCTGGGGCTGGGCTCTGGGGCTGGGGCTGGGCTCTGGGCAAGCAAATAACTCAATCCTTAACAGAAATGACAGAAACCTTATAAATACAAGAATATGCGAGAGTGTAGACAGAGGAGGCAGTCAGTAGAGCGAGAGAGAGAGAGAGAGAGGATGGTCGGTGGCCGACGATCATCCGATCTACCCGATCCGATCCGATCCGATCATCTTGTGGTTACAAAACGCGACATGGGAATGCGGCTCTGTGGCAAATTGGGAAGGTCTCTCCAGGCTCTCTCTAAGAACAAGTTTCACTTACTTAGAAGTTCATTCCCCCCCCACAACCCATCTGCTGTCCCTCCTCTGGTGTTTGTTGTTTCTGGTTTGTATTGAAAATTGAAAATAACAGATTTAATTTGTCTAACAAACTGTTTTGCCCCACCTCCACCTCCACCGCCACCGCCACTCCAGTCCACACCACGCAACCATTCTCATTCTCCCTGGAGAGAGATACGGATTGGACAGCCGTCATATTGAGATCTCATCAAAAGACCGCACAACGAGTCCGTCCCCATAAAAAAAGGCAACAAAGGGGGGAAAAAACACAGATTCAGAATCAGAATCAGAGCGGATTGGATTGGATTGAATTGGAGAGAGCATAAGAGCAGGGGGCAGGGGAGGGGGGAGGGGGGGGGGGGGGGGAGCAGAACCCATTGAAATATTTTGACAGCGGCATGGCAGGCGTTGAAGTTCAAGAGAAATGTCTCAAGTGCATTCGAAGTATTTCCCCCGCGACTGTGGATGCGTCTCCGACTGACAGCAGCTGTGCCACAGATGAGGCATCCACTGCTGCCGCGGCTGCCCCGTCTGCTGCTCCTCTCGATGGATGGCCTTATCACATTGATAATGACAATCGATGGTGGGCTTTGGGGCTTGGTCTTCAAACCTCAATTTGTTACACATCCAAAAGTACTGGAAAAAAACTGAACAACTCAAGAGCTGAAGATCTATTTTCTTAACATATATTTCCCCGGCACTCAGAGACCACAGTTTTTTTTTGTGGGGAGCGAAGAGCGAAACCCACCGAAAAACGTGACGCGCTTTCGAGTCGATTCGAATCGAGTCGAGTGTTTGCTTTAGACTTTTTTTTATCACTGGATCTAAAGTACAAGTGGGGGATCATCGGAAAGGGGGGCAGGGCAGGCCACATTATTAGAAGCAATTCTGGGGCCTCGAATTTGGAAATTAACATAAATTTTGGTTTCTTTTTGGGAGGTTCGTTCGAAGGTTTTATGGTAATGCAAGTGCTTTCGAAAGATACAAGAAAACATTTCATAAATTGTATTCTATATATAAATCTTCATTTCCTGCGCACAGATCGTAGATCGTAGATCGCAGATCGCAGATCGCAGATCGGAGAGCACTTTTCAATTTGTTATTTTGTTATTTCAGCAAATTAATTTGGACATGCGGGCTGATTGCAAAACAGATCTCTGGCAATTGGCATTTACGGAGAAACCTACGCCTAAACAGCAGGCCGGCATGGCTCTCCAGGAGATGGCTTCCATTGTCAGCCATCATCCAGGGGGAAGAGGGGAAGCCCCCTCTGCCCCATTTCGGGGTTGACAGCTGGCCAAATGCGAAACAGATCAAAGCAAATTATGTGCAACGCCTCTTAGCTGCTTAAGAATGAACACGAGCGCCCAACAGAGCCACAGTCACATCCATAAACCCATCCAGCATCCACTATCCAGCATCCACTATCCACTATCCAAGAGAACGCGTGCCCTGGTCATGGTCATGGCCATGGCCATGGCTATGGCCCTAGCCCTGGCTCTGGCTCTGCCGCGGTCCCATGAAATTGGACGATGGGCAATGGATTTTCATTTGGCGCGAATGCGGCGCAAAATATTTCATAAATCAACAAACAGAGCTCCACGGAGACGATGGCAAGCGGAATGATGGCTCGATTAAATGGATTTCAATGGGTCTCTGGCCTGGGCTGTGGCTCAGAGTCTGTGCAGATCTGTTCACTGGGTCTTTTGCATTTCCATTTCATCAACAGGCCTCATAAAGACAGCCACAGCCACAGAGATACAGAGGGGGAGAGTGGCTGCAGGGGGGGGGGGGGGATAACAAATTTGCGCGCTTTTATGGCCACAAATTGCCATGTCTTCAGCCAAGTGACAGTGCAATTATCGAGGGCCCAGCAGAACCTGCGTATCGTAGAAGAGGAAATCAGGCAGCGGAGACGTCTCAAGAGGGGAATGCTTGAACGAGACTAGGAACTGCAGTTGACAGTTTGAATGAGGGCTTTAAGGGGGAAGGGGGCCTGCTTTGGGGGCACACAGAATTTGATGATGAATTGTCTATTATGGTAAATATCCCCAGGCGTTGGGCGATGGGCGATGAACGACGAGCGATGAACGACGAGCGATGGGCGCCAGCTCCACTAATTAATGGGGCACATCGGCAATCGATTCGGCAACGACCCCTGGCAGCATCTCCCTCCCTCCCCCCCGCCCCCACTCTCTGTGTGTCTCCTGTGGCGGCATGAAAGATTTTCTGTGCAACATTTCGCTTAACAT